GTTCCATTTTTACACACTTAAACTCAAGTTCAAGGTTGATGATCATACCACAAGCTTAAACTCAGCAAGAATGATTCAAGGAGCTCACCAACAACCCTTCCAAGTACTGTTTCTACAGGTACACGAAAATGGACCAACAAAATGAGTTCTTTCCCCACCAAGGAAGCTACTTGGAGCTTTAAACCACCAAGAACAAGATGACTCTCCTCCAAACTCTCAAACTCAGAACAAGAACCTCCCAAACAGCAGCTTATACACTCAGAAAGGTGACTCTTTTCTGCTCACAAGACTCACACCCTCAAGACCAAGTGTTTAGGAAGAGGTATCATGGAGGTAGAAGGTCACAAGGCTCACACAAAGGGAAGAAAGCACCAACACAGAGCAAAACTGATCAGCCACCACAAGAACCCACACATAGAGTCAGTTTTCTAGGGCTTTGTGCCTTTAATAAGGGTATATATAGGCACTTAAGCATTAAACACACAGTATTAACTTTAATTGCTACGCTTAGCATTTTAATCCCAAACTTTGGATTCTTAACCTACACAATTTTACAAGAATTATCATATTTTTATTATATTTTTCAGAGCACCCTTTCGGTACGCGCTTTTCATAGACGATATCAGTTTCTGGCACCAGTTCTCATTATTTGGACTTGAAACTCGTTTTACAAGTCCTATATATTATTCTAGTAATTATTATGCACTTATTATAATTTTCTGAGATACTTTTTCGGTACGCATTTATACCGACTAGCAGAACCGGTATCTACACTTTTCTTCCGAAAAGCGACTTTCAGCATTCTTAATCACTTATCATAATTATTAAAGCCTCTTAATAAATATTAGGGTCAATTATGAAATCATTTCCTAATTTAACATAATTAATCAGTTAAATTTCTTATTTAACGGTGCGGGTTCTTACACTTGACTGGATGGTTCTCTGGCCAGTAGAATCGTTGTGTTGTATGTTATATGCTATTTTGATGTCTGCATAACATGTAAGTGAGCTCAGGGTTGGAAGGGTCTCCAAAGTCCCTGAGTTTACTGAGATTGTATCTCACCCAGTGCGGGGCTTATTTTCAGGTACCGTTGTGGCATGATTGACGCATCTCAAGGCATGAGGCTTAATTAGAGGCAATGATAGGCATATTTTGGAGTTTTGCATCCATTGACTGGAGAGCATGCTAGGATCCTTTTTATACGTGTATTTGGTATATTTGATTATGCATGCACCTATGTCATAGAGGAAAGCATATGATTTCATGTTATATTATGAGACAACCATGTATTGATTTATGTTGTATCATTTGATGGAGGCACTAGCTAGTATTTTGATTATGCATGCAATTATGTCAAGATGAATATTTTGTGGAAAAACATGGTGAAACTTGAATTGCAATTGAGTTACCATTGGATATGTATTTTGAGTACCATATGGATATGTCATTGAGACTATGAGAAATTGTATAATCTTATGAGTTCTTGTACAATTGAATAACTTCTTATGTTAAACTATGATGAATGATATGTTGGATAGTTATATGATCTATTAGGTGTTAAGAGAATGGTGAAAGAGGGAGGAGTTTCCTCATGAAGTTACATGAAAACAGGGGAGGACATGTGTTGCCTAGTTGGAGAGTGTTTTAGCGCTGATAAAGGCGTTAAAACGCGCTGGGTTCGTGAACTGGAGGAAAAGTCTCTGCCCTTTGGCGTTTTAACGCTCAAGTGGGCGCTAAAACGCTAAAGTGGGATAAAACGCGCAAGTTGGGCGCTAAAACGCGCTGAAGACCTGGAGAAGGTCAAATTCACTGCATTTGGGCGTTTTAACGCCCAGTTGAGCACTAAAACGCGCTACCCGAAAAATCAGTAAAAACTTAGTTTTAGTAAAACTGGCCTAACTCGAGCTACAGAGCTCCAATTTGAGTGCGATTTGAACCCACTCGAAGCTAACAAAGAGATCTATAACATAGTATGACAGGAGAACTCTAGAGGAAGTATAGAATTCATATAATAATAAAAGAGATGAAGGTATTTAACAACGTGTGGTCCAATAAAATAAGAATATGATATTAAGCTTAGTTTCATTTATTCCGCAACGTCATATGATTATGATCACGCAATTGGTTATTTTAAATTTGGCTCTGTTCAAAAAGAAAAAATTATCCGAATTTTTAATTGAACCAATGTGATTGTAACTGCGTTTAATATCATAAAACATGTTAACAAACCGGTTCTAGAACGGGACGTTACACCCGTCATACTTACTATAGTTTATAAATTTGTAAGAAAAAAAGTTTGTAAATATAACCTCCTCCTAAATATAATAGGAAGAAATATTAGAGAACATCTACTTTATTAAATGAAGTGTTCTAGCGAGAATTTTTAGAGTGAATCGGAACACCTGCATCAAATGTTCCAATTTCGTAAAACAGAAACTTTTTATTACATTTTTATCCATATTATTTTGTTTATTTATATCCATATCTTAATTTTTTTTCAAATTTTGGGAAAGGTGCACCCTCAGGGAGCACCGAAAATACGCTCAGTTCTAGCATATTTTAGTGAAGTTGCCCAATTACCAATTGGTCATATATAATTTCTAAATACCCTATATTTACAAATGTAGGGTATTCATTTTGAGGTATACACTTTTCACCAATTCCATCCTCTATTTTTTTACCCTCCATTTTATTTATGGGTAAACCTACCATCATGTAACATAATCTAAAGCATTTTTCCTACTCAAACAAAAATTATGTGGGTCCCATACATATAATAAAAACAAAAAATAAAAAATGCTGGTGTGGAAACCAATGTGTGAGTAGGTAAATTTTTTTATATCATGTTACGTAATATTAGTTTTCCCCTTTATTTATTTACTGATTTGAACGTAGGAAATTTTAAAGATACATCATCCTCTCTTACTTTTCAAAGCACATAAAAGGTTATCCTTAAATAACTTCAACCAGCATTGAAGACGGCTTGAAAATAACATTACATATACATGTGTCTTTATATGAACATCTACATTGAAGAAGAAATTAAGAAATAAGTAAATTTTTGTGAGGATCTTTCACCTTCACTTGTCTCATAATATTCTTGTAGTTGTAAATTAGGTTCAATATGAACGTATCATTGTAAAACTTTATATTGTATATTATCTTTAAATAATGCGTCATTGAGTTTGGTTATGATAAAAAGTATATAAAGAAAATTAATGTTAGGTAATTGTATTTGTATATAAGTTAAAAAATTCAGAATTCTGACCAAGTTCGACTATATTAATATATTATGGTATTTTGATAATATAAAATAATGGGCTACTTATTAATCTAAGATATTATATCAGCTTGTAATCTCATTTTAACAAAAGTTCTATCTAAGATTTTCCGAACTCTTTTACAAATGGATGAACTCATAATTTAATAATAGTATAAAAAGGCACACGCCTCCAAAATCAAAACAAAACACTATCAATTAAATGCCTAATTTAAATAACTAACCCGTAGCATTGCTTACCACATTATTACATCACACTTGCATCTCAACTCAACTAAAAGTTTGATAACTAGATCTTTCTTGTATGTTGGTATGTCGTATGTCCTATCATTTTCTTCTTAACTTTTCTGTCCCTTTCTTTCTGTCATTTTTGTGGAGCATAGCAGAAAAAAACAACAACTCTATATCAGTGCATTTAGAAAAATTGATTGTTATATATTTGTCCAAAATTTGAATCCACAGAATTAAAGAAGGGATCACATCTAAACCAACAAAGTTTGCTAGCCCAATTCATTTAACTTACCCGACACTATTTTTTTGGGCTTTTATCTGTAGACTATAAGAACGTGGGCCAAAGCCCATAAGCTATTTGATATAACTGGTAAAATTTTGTTCGGCCTAGGGGTGGGCAAATACAATGAGTTGTAACTTGTAACAAAATAAATTGACCTATATTCAAACCGGTTTATTCAATTCCTATGTTCGGTTTAATTATTGGCATTCAATTCCGTTAACCAATATTAACTAAACCAAGATACATTGAATTAATCACGGTTTATGGTGAGAGTGTAATTTTGTAAACCAAGGGTAGCAGTAGCATTGCTGAAAACTTTTGCACTACTTGTGTGGTAGTACATTTGAATTTTGGATCCATAATTACATTCAGCTTATGTTCAAACTTCAAATAATCTATCAGGAATAGAGCAGGCTCATTCGCAAAATAGTAGGCTATAGAACACGAAATATATGATACATCATGACATAGATGCGATACTACCCAGATACGAGAATTTTAGAAATTGTAAAACATGACATAGTTATTGTGTATCATATAAAATTAATATATAATTAACAGAGAAGCACAATCTTTAATTAAAAGAGAAAATGATGTTTCAAAATTTAGCACTAGTTAATAAAATATAAGGGCAACATTAGTGTTTTCTTTTTCATCTATAAGGGTATATTTGGGATTGAGGTTTTTAGAACAAAAAGGAATAGAGGATAACTTTTTCGTTTTGAGTACATATTCTATAAGTTCAAAAATTTTTCAGAATGAAAGGAAAAAAAATAATAAATTACCATGAAACCTTCCAATTATTTCTTATTTATTTCTTCGTCAATTCATTGATTACTCAATGAACCCGGTTTAAACAACAAGAGCATATTTAAAGACATTTGATGTATAAAAATTCCTTATTTTGAATTAAGAGTTATATAATGGCTATAAAAATGAGTATATAATCACATTTGGCTCAACAAATTAAATTTTAATAGTAAATCAATGTTAAATGATTTTTCAAATTTAATTCTTACACATAGCTAAGCACCCATTTAACTTAGATTATAAGAAAATTGATGTTAGAAGAATTTAGTTTGAAAACGTTGATTTGAGTTTGTTTGGGTAAAGTATAATACTGGAAAAGGTTTTGGCATTAAATAAACAGAATTTGCCTCTTCTAACAGAGGGAGATATAATCGTTAGATTAAAAAAAACTACTGAGATTGTATTATTGTAATAAAATATACGAAAATGTATCACAAACTATAAAATTGTTAAAATCTACTTCCCTCTTCATACGTTATTTGGCTCTTTTTGAAGCATGTCCCTATCTTTGGAAAGGAGAAATAAAGCGGGAAAGAAAATCTAATCAAGCAAACATGTAATAAGGTGTTGAATCTTATAACCGTGACTTTGCTTGCTCCACTGAGGCACTCTGCAACATAACAGTAAAAATGCCATTAGACAGCAATACCACAATGGCAATGGACACTTTACTAGTACCAGAAATATTTAATATTTAATATTCTAAAGTACTATAATTTGTCTACAAACCAAAGCTTCTTGGGATTCAAAAAATCATGCAATACCGACCATGATGTTGTTGACCCACGCTCATCCCCCAAAACCAATGTTTTTTTTGGTTCTCATTGTTGCTTGCCAATTGAAGCTATTATAATTTTAAGGAGAAAGTTATATTTACAAACTTTTTGTTTACAAACTACACTAAGTATGACCGGTCATACTTCAATCAAGAGTGTATGACCGGTCGTACTTAGTATAATTTGTAAAAAAAATTTGTAAACAGATCCTTCCTCTAATTTTAAAATAAAAAGGGGTACAACCCACATTTATTCAAGGAACATGGCATAAAAGTGAATCTTTTCATGCGAACCTATCTTTATTTAAAACCTATCAATATCATATTTGAGTCAGGACTACCAGCACACCACCAAAAGAATACTATATACAATGTACTCTGAAAGACGAGCAGTAACTGAATATCACAATTAAGTTATTCTTAGAATGCAGCAACTGATAAGAGGATTCAATACTTACATAATAAGATAAATTAAGGCTCATTTTCACAAGGATTTGGTCAATTTCAATTCTAATTGTCCAAAAGTACTAAGCAGTGACCAAAAAAAAGTTCACAGTTTCAGCCTTTATTCTAGTCAGTAATATAGTATAGAATGATAGTAGCAAGATAGATTTGTAACAAATTCCCTTAGAAGATCCTGATTTTCTGGGTATATAGGTGCAATGTGTTGTTGAATGGTCCTTGCATCTAACAATAAACTTTCTGAAGTATATGTCTTTTGTCTTGAGTTATAATCAGTGTAATGATTGTTTAGCCAACTTATAATCAGTGTCTTGAGTTACCCAACTTGTCTCTTAGGATGCATTCCAGGATTGTTTACCCAAGTATCTGATACATAAATGAAAACAAATGAGCTTAGATTTCTTACCAGAGGCATCCCCTTGGAAGCTCTTGCAGCCAAGTAGGCACAAGGCTTGAAGAATTCTCCATACAGTTTTGACCATTCCTCCAATCTTGAGTATATGTATTTGGATCCAAGAGAGTCAGCCCAGAATATGATACCTCCCCTAATTAAATTAATCCTGAAAGTCAGAACAAGAAGTACAAATTTTTTGAGTAGTCTATTAAAATAGTGGATGAGACAAACCTGTAAGGTGGAAAGCCCATGCCCATGACAGCTGAAATATCAAGATCTGCTGCTTTAACTGCAATGCCTTCATCAAGGACCCGGCAAGCCTCATTCACCACAGGAAAGAAGACCATCTCTATGATGTCCTTTTCTGATAATTTAACAAGCTGTCCAGATTCAGACCCACAAAGTCAGATCCAGTGGTATTTACAATGAATATGAACTTTCAGTTGTGCTCCCCACTATAGTCAATATGGTATAATAGAAAGGATTGGTAAAAAGACCTTAGGATCAATAGTGACACCAGAAATGCTCCTAGACTTCTCAATATACTTCTTCAATTCAGGATCAGGACTAGCCTTGCGTTTATCATTATACAAATAAAACCCTTTGCGAGTTGTTTCACCTGTTAGAAGCACATGTTAACCGTTAAACAAAGAATGACAATGACTTATTTAGTAGAAACACACCTGAGCATTTTATTGTAATGTAAATATATTTCACAATATCTCCTCAAAATTTTAACTGATACAAGAAGAGAATTAGTGCATGAGAGTTTAACTTTACCTGCTCTCTTATCTTCTTGCATAAGTGGAAGAAGCATTGATTTATAAGTTCGCTCAGGAAAATTCTCTATAAATTGCATGGCAGTTGCAACCCCCACGCCAAAACCAACAAGGTCAACCAATCTGTATTAATAAATATGAGAATATGTGACAGATTAGACCCTTCAAGAAGTGATCGTGGATATCAATAATTTATCCAACCATTAATACCTGAAAGGCCCCATGGGCATCCCAAATTTGGTTATTGCCTTATCGATTTGATAAACATCTGCACCACGTTCAACAAGCAAGATTGCTGCTTGAGTATATGGGAAGAACATCCTATTAACAGCAAATCCTGTACAGTTTCCAACCACCACCGGAGTTTTCTTTATCCTCCTTCCAATATCCAGCAAGTCAACTATAATTTGGGAAGATGTCCGCTTAGTACGTACAATTTCCAGAAGTGGCATAACATGCGCTGGGCTGCAGAAGCACGAGTCCAATTTTTAAGTCAGAAATATACCATGGAAAAATATAATAGTTTCCAAATACTAGATTATACCTGAAGAAATGGGCTCCAACAATCCGATCTTGAGACTTGGTTCTCTCTCCAATCAGGTCCAAGTCAATTGTGGAAGTGTTACTTGCAAGTATACAATGAGGAGGACAATACTTTTCAAGGTCAGCAAAGATCTGTTGCTTTAAGGAAACATTCTCAATAACAGCCTGTCCGACCATCAAACACCAACAGTTTATAATTTGCCCAAGTTTTGGATAAAGTGCAGTTGCAACAGTCAATGAGCATGTTAATATTGGGGTGCCTTAAAGTACCTCTATCACCATGTCCACATCTTTGAAGCTTTCATAGTCAAGGGTACCTTTGAGAAGAGAGAAGGTCTTTTCAAATTTTTCCATAGACATTTTCCCTTTCTTGACACTGCTTTGTAAATTTGCTGCATAAAGAGGAATGCTACATGAGAACATAACTTATTTTTTAATTAAAGCTGAAGTTTAAGCAGCGAGAACCAATTTACAAGAATCTGTTCTCACCTTTAACCCTATTAACACCTGCATCCAAGAACTTCTGATTTACTTCTTTCAAGATGACAGGATAGTTACTAAGAATTAAAGCTGTTGCTATTCCAGAGCCCATTAGTCCTCCACCAAGGATCGCAACTCTTTTCACCGGTCTTGGAGCCAAACCACGATCAGTAACCCCAGGCACCTGTTCATGCCAAGTGGTATTGGGAAATTCATATATATATATATATATATATAGAAATTTATATGAGAAGTTAGTACTAAACAGGCTAGCTAACCCAGGTTCCAACCTTCTTTTATCACTATATTAACTTTGAAGTTAGTTTAATGAGACAATATATAAAACCCCAAGTGATCAAATTAAAGGTATACACTATAGGCACAGATTCAAGATGGATCAGGATTCACAAATTTAAATATCTAAAGTTTTAAAACATAACAGGACAAACTTGAAAGTTTTAAAATGAAATATAGATCTAAGAACATCAAGTATAAAAATGTAAACATTAAGTTAATAACTAATAAAGCAGTCCATACTACAAAGTAACAACCGCATGAATATATGCTATTAAACTACAGTTGCTCCATTGTAAAAGTGATTATTCAAATAACCTCACTTTTAACAGAATAACAACATCTTGGTCCTTTAAATAAATAAATAAAACTTTTTAAGGTCCTATGTGCAAAATAAAGTCAAACTCAGTCCTTCAAGGATGTATTGGGGTCAATGTAGAGGTCATAGATTCAATTCTCAGCAAATTCCAATTTACATGTTAGGGTTATATAAAATTAAGGAAAGTGATTAATCAGAATTTATTCAAGGATTCATTATAGATTAATGATTGGAGCTCAATCGAGGGCTGCTTGATTGACAAACTGTACTTGTAATATTCTTCCAGCAATTAGAATAAATTGAGATGTAGACTAGGGTAATTCACTTATTGTGCTTCATCCTACAGCCTCTCTCTCTCTCTCTCTCTCTCATTTTTCTAAACCCGTAGCAATATATATATTCTGCCCTTTGACTAGCCACAGCTCAATTAGAAGGAAAACTAAAGATTTGGAAACAGTTTATATTTTTTCCCACACTTCCATAAAATTCAATAGAATATTTACAAACTAGTTTCAATTCTATCTAACCAGGTTTAAAATGAGTTTTTAAGCCAGTACGTTAACACTTTCTTTTTTCCTTCACAACCAGTATAGCCTTGAGATCTCTCTCTCACTGAAAAGGGGAAAGAAAGGGGTAAAATTCATATAAATAACTTCTACAAACCTTCGATGTTCCTCGCTGAGCGAAAAATATGTGAATCAAGCTCTTACAAGTATCTGAAGCCACCAGTGCTTCGAAGGCTTCAGCCTCCTGCCAAGATCAGACACAATGTCGTATAAATTTCTGTAACTCCAATATGAAGGGGAAAAAAGGATACTGGAAAAAAGTGCCAACCTTCCAGAGTCCTGCACGGGGACCAGAAACTATTCCCTCTTCGATAACATCAATGCAAACCAAAGGGTGCTTAAGATTAGGAGCCCGTTGTCGCGTCTGAGCTCTTGCAAACTTCAATATCTCTCTTGCTTCCCCGAGGGATTCTATTTTGTCAGTCTTGTAAAGACTAGCAACCCATGGTCGTCGTCGGTTCAAAATATCCAGAGCCCATTGGCGTGCAGTGTTTACCAACTTATCAGGTGACACTACAGCATCTACAAGCCCCAAACTATAAGCTTCCTCCCCTTTAATTGGCTTTGAGGTCTTAATTGAAAAAAATAAAGAAGTGGAAAAGAAATTAATTGAAAATCAACAGACAAGCATGTTGAAATCACATCTCTTACATATTTTCTATAAAACAAAAGTATTGCAGTTTCACCCAGGGTGGAGAACTGAACCAAAAATATGCTGTAACACTGTCCATTGGAATTTAAATGTAGCACAGTCAATATGATGTTTGATTGACTACCATCCTTGAGTTAGAACATACCAGCTTTTCAGTTCAGTTCCTCATAGAGGGAAGAGCAAAGTTTAGACAAGAAAAGGAAGCATAAAGTATAGCATACCAGCATCATCTCAAGGGCCTTAGCCAGGCCAACAAGACGAGGAAGTCGCTGAGTTCCTAAGACAATTTACAAACTCTAGGTTAATAATGCTAAATAAAAATTAGTACTTCACACCATTTTTATTATTTAAATTAAGAGCATTACAATAAGCCCACAACTCAAAAGACTTAGCAATTTTACTCATGGCCTAACCCTTTTTTTTATTTTAAATTCTGTTGATTATTTAAGGTCTAACTGCCACAAAAAGATTTTAAACCATAATCTATTGTAAGAAACTTCATTCCGATAGACTCATTAAAAGCATGCCGTTAAAACCTAATCTGTAAACAGGTTGCATCTGTTTCATGTCACCGATAACAGTTATTACAAATGTTTTCAAGGGATAGAATAAATAATAACATTTATTTTGGGAGTCCAAAGGACTTAATGTAGTAATAATAATAATAAAAAAAAAGAATCAGTCATACATATAGAGGTGTGTAAGAATATATATATATATATATATATATATATATATATATATATATATATATATATATATAAAAGACAATCAGATAAATAAATACATCATAAATTCATTGAATTTAAGCATGGAAACTGGAAAGCCCTTCTTATCATAAAATTCACCATTACTTTTCATCTTTACCTTGTCCTTAACTCCTTATAGCACATTGCACCAGAAAACATCCCTCCTTGTGACTACAGTCATGGTAAAATGCATAAACTATGGATTTCAATTTTTTCTCCATTTTATTTTCAATACACACAATTTGAATTCTGAAACAAAACTTATGTTTACGGAACAATAAAGTTATGTTGATGGAACTCTAATAAAGAAATATGCCAAAAATAGAGATGAATTAGTTGAACCTAGAATTAAAGTATTCATACCTCCACCTCCAGGAATTACTCCAAGCTGAAGTTCAGGCAAACCTAGTTGAGCAGCTGGGGTTGATATCCGTGCGGTGCATGCCTGTAAGAGGAAGTATGGGTAATATTTTGTATAAAAAATATAAAATGTTTCTTATCCTAAAATCTCGGAACACATACCATTGCAACCTCTAACCCCCCACCCAGGGCAAGGCCATCAATGGCAGCTACTGAAGGTTTCCTAGCCGCTGAAAGATGAAGTAAAAAGTTTTAAAATTGAACAAAATGACAAATGAGTGGCAAGAGAAGAAATCAATTACCTTCTAAAGTGTCGGTGAGGATTTCTACCGATATCAAACCAGGCTTTGAATGCACTATATATTGGTGGGAAGAATTACAAAATGAGTAGGAGTATTTGCTATAACAGAAAAACCACAAAAAAAAAAAAAAATGTAGAAGAAGAAGAAATTACCTTTTCCCTCTTGCATGCTACCAAATGCAGTAATATCAAAACCACCAGAAAATTTTCCCTTTGCGCCTAATACAGTAACAAAAGATTCAGCTATGATCCCATAGCGCTATAAGCCAGTTGGACAAGAATTATCTCTTGTTGAAGACCAAGACTTGATTGCTGTTTGATCATCCTTTCCCTCTTTTTCTTCTTCTTTATCTTTAGCTCTTTACAGTTTGATATATATATATATATATATATATATATATATATTTGGTATTTTACAGTTTGATACTTTAGCATTAATCAAAATGTTACAACCACATGATACAAATTACTCTAGTTTAAACAATCTATGCTCGGTGGTTTAAAATATATCTGGGTCATTGATGTTTATATAATTAAGTTTTAGATAAGCAATCAAAAGTGAAAACTACTACGAACTTTGAAGGCAGTCCAAAATATTTTATGCTCTTCTAGACTATATGTGGCCACAACCCTTCAATTTGGCAGAGGATAAATATTCAATTAGAGAAGATCTTGAGGGTTTGTTGACTATTGTTTAACATGTTGACTCAATGACATTTCCTTTTCTTATTTCAAATCATTCAACTTGGGTATCTATCTTCTACCACTTTAGCCAAGGGTCATTGTTCAATGATCCATATAGCTGACCCCACCTAATGCGTGTTTGGTTTTGATTAAATTACAGGAAAACTCCTTTATTTCTGAAAAGTTTTCTCAATAAACTTTTGATTGCAAGCTGGTTTGAATAAAAAAAATAAGCAAATCCAAACAAGCATCTAATGAGATAGATAAGGGCATAGGGCTAGGTTGACGTTGTTGTATCTATCTTCTCCCCCTTTGAGATTTACAGGATCAGGTTCTCAGAAATTTAATTCATTTCTTTTTTCCACTATAAAACACTCTTACTGCTTTCTACATCAAATCCTACCCAAAATACCAAGCCTGTATGGTTAAACAGAACAAAGTTAATCAGTACCTGTAACAACAATTGCCTTGACATCTTCTCTCTGCAAAGCTTGATCATAACTCTCCTTTAAACTGTGGAATACTAGTGATAGAGAGAGGGGCAAACAAACAAGCCAATGTAATTTAATATGAGAAATGCAAAAGAAACATATGAATAAAATAGGAACAATAGTTACTATCAGAGAATAAATAAATAAAATTAAAGTTTTAGGCTTTCAGATATAAGAAAAAATGGGTATGGGAGTATTGAAGCAAAGAAGCAGATCCACTAAAGAAAATAAGAAATCAAAAAGGAATACCATCAAAGGAGAGGGAATTCACAGGAGGGTTGATGATGGTGATGATGGCTACCCCATCAGCTCCAACTTCCAAGACTGTGTGTCCCTTCTCTGTGCCAACCATTGTTTTCCTCTCTCTGTTTCAATTGACTAATTCTCTTCCTCCAAAATGGATGCGATTGTTCTGCTTTGTATTTGTTCTTCACTTCTCAAAATTGTTATTTATAAGGAACAAGTAGTGGCGTAAACGACAGTGTATAGTGTGACATTGATTTTGGCCACATTTCGGAACAAAAAAATGGTTGGGGAGATTAATGTTAAAGGGCTTTATTATTTTTCTTTTTATATATAAGATAGTTATCTTATGTTGTAGAGAAAACAGGTGGATCCCACTATTACAAGAAAAAATAAAAAAATAAGATGCGAAAATTACAATAAGAGAGTAGGAGAAAAATTATCTTATGTAAAAGAAGAGTGCTGTTTCACACTGTTAAATGAACGAATTATAAATGAGGTGAATTAATGATAAGCTCTGTGTCGGTAGATGGGTTGTTTTGTGTAATTTTCATACTGACACGAACTAATGCACACTGGTTCCTTCGTAGATGATAATGTTTTCAGGTTTTATTTTTTTAAATTTTTCTCTAATATGAAATATTTATTTTTAATTTGTCACAGTTAAAAGAATTAATTTAATCCATGTAATTATTTTTAATTTAGTTCTTCTTATATGTCATTTTTATGATACTGTTCACTGTTATAAAAATGACATTCATAAAAATGACATATAAGAACTAAACTAAAAATATTATACTTTTAGTTTCATGCATGATAATGTTTTTAATTTAAATTTTATATTTCATAATAACTTTATATCCGTTTCACAATATTCTATGATAGCAACAATCAGTTAATCATGTATAACTTTATAAGACCAAAAATATATTTTAAAAAGTTGTTTTTGATATATCACGTTGGTATTTTAATATATTTTTATATTCAATAAAATTTTCAACTAATTATAAATAAATACCCAAGGGAGCTCGCCAAGATGAAGAGGTCGTAAAATTCTTTTATATACATAATAAGTGTATGCATATCTTTATTAATTTGAGAAGCATTAAATCACATACATACAGTTATGGAAATGTAATAAATGTTTACAAATTTCACCTACTCCTTTAGTTTTTTCCCGTAATTAAATTTTGATCATTGGTTTCGATTTCGGAGCATAAAATTAGCTTTTTATAAATAACAATATTTTATATTTTTGTTAAAATAAATCATTTGTTAACAATATTAGAAAATATCACTCACGGAATAATCATAAATTGCATAAACCTGCAGGTTAGACAACTCACTAAAGAGTATCCATGACTATCTAACGGGAAATCCTAGTCAGCAAACCAATCTTATCTGCACACCAAAAATATTGATTCATCAGTCCTCAGTCATCAAATTCAGCAAATAACATTTTCTACAAAAGCTGAAAATAAACACAATTCTAGGCTAATTAATATGACAACTAAAAAATCAGAATCACTATCATGAACACATTATCTAAGGGAATCAAGGTCAAACCATAATATGAAATGAGGTTAGATTCCATCCGAGCCACAAATTGTGTTATATTTATAAAACAACCTATACTAATGGCAAGTGACCTAGAAGTTGTTTAGCAATTTTTTTTTAAGTTAAAAGTCTTTAAGTTAAAGTTAAAATAAAAGTTTAAAAAATAAAAGTTATAATTGTGTGGTGATTATATAAAATTGTTTTGAGGGTTTTGTAAATGAGAAGATGGAATAATTTATTATTAGGATGGATTATTAGGATGAAAAGTAAAATTAATAAATACAAATTTAGAATAAGGACAAAATTGAAAAATAAATATGAGAATTTTAAAAGGTTAACATATATATTAAAAAAACTCCTCTCAATAGCTTTTAACTTTTGTTTTTTTTTATTCGTTATAACAAAACAATTTAAGAGCTTTTGGAAAAAATATATTTGACTAAACTTTACTTATAAAGAGAAGAAAAGTTAAAAATAAAACTTCTCAATAGGCACTATGGAAAAAAGAAAGAAATAATTAATATATTTAAGATAAGTATATATTTACAAATACATCTTAATTCATCCTATTTTATTAAATCTAGGATGTGATATGGTTATGAATGATGAATTGCACGGTTTCAATAAGATTCCAAATTTGATTTATAACTTACTTTTTTTGGTTTATTTCATTTATTCGAATAGGGAGAATACATGGTACCCCACAATTTTGAATCAGAATTTTTTTTTAAAGAAATAACAGATCTATTAACCCTATCAATTGAAGAAATGGCAGATATATTTAGGAGTAAATATTTTTTTCGGTTATCTGCAAATTTTACGATACCCATTCTAGTCCTAGAAAATGAAAAGTCGTGGTCCCTAAAAAATTTAAAGTGAACTTATTTTAGTTCTTTTAAGAGACTAGTGCAAATCTTTTTTGAATTTGTGAGGACCATGATTTTAATTAAATATGTCTATTTTGAATTTTTTAGAGACCACAGATAGTTTTTTATTTACTAGGGACTAAAGCAGGTATCGTAAAATTTGACGAGCACGGAAAATAATATTTAGTTTATATTTACTCAATCAATAACCGACGGATATGATGTGTGAGTAAGAACCTATGTGCCTCCCCATTGTTCTCCCACGAGGTTAGATTTCTTTCAAAGCAAATGGACTTTCTCATAAGGATGATGCTTCAGTGTCACAGACTCACAGTCGAGCAAAAAATTGAAGATGCAAAGTCCACACACAATAGATGGAACACGCAAAAGGGCAAATTAGAGAAGGACAAAAACAGTGCCATGAATAGTAGTAAAAACAGTGGGTAACGAGATTTGGTTGTTGTAAAGTATATATTAGATATAGATTTGCATCATATTGTTTTGTATCATATATAATTATGTGTAATTTTAATTTTAATGTATTGTTAATGTCTTTTCTTTACGTAATCATTCAATTATGATTATCGCATCATGTTCTTATTGTGGGAAAGAAATGCATAAATATTTAGGGTTAAAAATTTATTCTTTTAAATGATGTAATTTATGTCTTTTAATAATTTATAACTATGGATACTATATAATTATAATATTAAAGTTGTACCTTTTTTACTTTCCACGTCAACAAACAATATCTGAAGAGAGAAAAAAAATTACAACTTTAATATTATTACTATGTACTAAGAGAAATTATTAAAAGAACATAAGTTAACCCACAAAGCTCAGCATAGTTAATAGATAGATGAGTTCTTTAAGTATGCTGATTGGGGTTCGATTCCTAGCCGGGTGCATGGAGAAAGCTTTGTTAAGAGAGGTTTACCCACCGCTGGAGGATACCTTGGGAAACCAAAAAATAAAATAAAATGACATAAGTTATATTTTTTTAAAGAACAAATCATTTCCCCAAATTTTTATCATTAAATCCTACATAAAATAATAAGATAAATTGCTTAAATGTATGTGATAACTCGAAAAATTAGATAATTCATTTATTTTAATTTTGATTATTTATGTAAACTTTGATTTATGATTCAAATTTACTCTTCTTAATTAATATTCACAGGCTCAATGCATAACAAACACATAACTGGTGTTTTAAATTTATGTATTTTTTATTGGAGATGTTATATCTATAACATATTTCTACCTATAATTATTTTCTTTATATTTAAAAATTTAGGTGCAGTTAGATACCAATATTCCACCCGTGTCAGAACAAACCTTCTAACCTCTTTGAAGATTTCAGGGAAGGATTACAATCGCCTACCAACAAGGTCCTTACATCGACCAATGAGATATGAACTCATGTCTTTACGGGATATGAGCATAATTCTTAACCAATGTGTCTACCCTCGTTGGCTATTTTCTTTATCTTTAGATCAAAATCAAATTTAACGTTATAAAATGATACTAAGTGAGAATCGTTGATTTAGTTTTGATTTAAAAATAAAGAAATTGATTATAAGAGATGATAGGAAATTATAAATAAACCTCCCTATTTTTTATTGGTGTGTTATTTGTGTAAATATTTATTGAGCCTCGAATGAGTGATTTCTATTTATGTCTTTTAAGATATTTTCTTAGTCCTAAAACCTTCTTCATACCCCATAATTAAGAAAATATCTTTCACCCTAAATTTATCCTCCTTACCAAAAAGGAAACTTTTCTTATATAAGTTGGTTAGTAGTTAGGTTTTTTTTGGTAAATAGTTAGTTAGTGTGCTACTAAGTTTTACTCTTAAATAAAAGATAAAGGGCATGCTCACAAGTCACAAGCATCATTCAATGTCTACCCACTCTGTTTTGTACAAGTATTCTCAATAAGCCCAACAAACACCGTCCTTTTATATCTACTTTAGTATTAATATACATTTATCAGGTCCAAGTTATTTAGTCCCACTAATGTACTTCTAATAAAAACAATTAAATGTTCTTTTGATTAATTGATTTTAAAGTCAATAAAAAAAATTCTTAAACATGCACTAAATTCAAAAGCAGTACTTTTTTGTTTTTTTTTCTTAAAAAAAAAAAAAAAAAAAAGCATCATATTCCAAATCAATGCTTATGGTAGGCCTCTAGAACAGACTAGGAATCATTCCTCAAAGATGTGGTATTGCACTTCCTTCACTTCACTGCATTTCCAAGCTTAGCTAAGCTTTGAAGTACTTCTTCTACTCCTTCTTTCTACTGAACCTTGTTTTACACAGTACAAGATAGGAAAAAAGGAACACACCCTCTCTTATCTCTATCATACCAAAAGCTAACAAGATCATCCCAAGCTATGAGCGAAGACACAAAGAAGAACATTGCCGCAGCTCTAACGGCAAGGCCTAATTCCGATGACCGAAAGCCATCACCGCCGGCGGCGCCACCCACCCCCACCAAAAAAGTCATCATCAAAAGTGCTGATATGATTCCCGACATGCAGAAAGAGGCCGTTGACATCGCCGTCGCCGTTAGTTCCTTCTTTCTTTACCTTACCAACAACCTCTCTCTCTCTCTCTCTCTCTCTATCTCATCTCTATCTCTATCTCTTTTGTTGCAAGGTTTCTTATTTTGGATTCTCTTTCTGGGTTTGATTGTTCGTGCTGTGTCGTGTCCTAAAGCCTTGACCTTTTTGTGAATGAATCAGGCGTTTGAGAGGTGCAATGTGGAGAAAGATGTTGCGGAGCAGATAAAGAAGGAGTTCGATAATAGGCATGGCCCCACTTGGCATTGCATTGTTGGTCGTAATTTCGGTAACTGCTTCTTTTTATTCTGCACTTTTCAATGATTTTTCCACTTGGGTTAACTCAGATTTGTGATTATGTACTGTTTTTTTATTTCTTCTTAGTTGTTAGTATGGGGTATGTGATTCTTCTCTGCCTGAAATGGAGTAGATCTAAGGTTGTTTGAGTTAGTCCTTGTTTGCTTCCAGTTATTGATTAGGAGCTGGAAAATGTGTTTGCTTCTCTTCATGTTTGGGAGTTAGAAGTGATGTTGGAAACCTAGGTTTTTGTTGGCTGCATATGGTCTCATAAACCGTAAAGCCTTCTTTATTTGGTTGCAATTTTTATTTTATTTTTTTAGATTTCCCTAGTAATGAAATAAGATTCAGTTGCTTTCTCTCTATCTCTCCTTTCCAGTGGTAATGGTTAAGTTAAACGGTGTATAAATGTGTAGTTTATTTGCTATGGATGAGACGATGAGTCTCCATTACTTATGTACTGTGATGACAAAGTGTTCAGAGTAGTTATAGAATTAGTTAGGTGGTTAGAAGTAGTTAAGGAATTAGTTAGGGGGGTTAAAGTGGTTTCCAGGTGGGGCTTAGTTTAAATAGTAGGGAAGGGGTAGAAGAGCACGGATTCAGATTTGGTAGTATATGGAAAACTGAGCATTGGCTTGGTTGTAAAAGGGGAAACCTTTTGTTAAAGGGGAATCCCTAGGAAGGAGAATCCTCTCCTAGTGCTTTTGTTGGGAGAGAGAGATAATTCATGGCGACCTGTTCTTTCTTTATCTCAAACTCTGTTTTCGGGTTTGTGACAATCTTGAATGTTATTTAGTGCAATTAATGCTATAATCATCATTCATTGTCAATGATCTCAGGGGTTTTTGCTTAATATGTTTTGTGATTACAAATATTATGATTAAGTTAATTAAGCTTGTAAAGTAGTTAATATGTGAGTATGACAAAGCCTTAAGGTTGTTAGTCTGTGGTCTCTTTGTGATGTTCTGCTCTTTAAACTTTTGGAGATAGTCATTAGTTGATATTAATATTTAAGCAGAATGGAGAGCTCCCCCCCGAATTATCTTTTATGTTTGTTTTCAAGGTCTATCATTAGGTAATAGGCCTTACTATATTTTGGGATCATCCCTCTTATTTGAATTTCTTTTTTGAAAACAAATACAACAATAATATACCATTAAAAGTGCACTTTGAAGATTGTGGACGTAGACAAGATTGCACGCTGATCTCTCAAACGAAATTTAGTGCATGTAAGAGAGTAGGATTTTATACTTTTGAACTTTTCATATATTTTCTTAGAAAGATTTTGTAGTTTTCAGTATTAACCATTATACTTGTTAATTTTTGCCAATGAGCTTGTAGCTCAATTAGCTGCGTCCAGTAATTTAGACTTGGGTGTAATGTTGATGTCAAAGTTCGTCCACCGGGATTTTGTGATGATGAATGTTTATGTGAAAAAGAAATTCAATTTTGAATCTTTTACAACAACAAAAGCATTTTCCCACTAGGTGGGGTTGGCTACATGGATCAAACAATGCCATTGTGTTCTATCAAAAACCAAGTCTTTGAAGTCAATTTTAATGGTTTCGCTTAGAGTTTTTGAGTGAAGTCAAGTCTTTGATTGAAGTCATTTTTAATGGTTTCGCTTAGAGATTTTCTTGGTCTCCCTCTATCTCTATCTCTAACTATTGGGCTGTTTTCCATGTGATCAACTCTTCTTACGGAGGCATTTATTGGTCTTTTTCTTGCATGGACAAACCATCTTAGCTGCAATTCTATCATCTTTTCCTCAATATGTACCACTCCTAGTTTCTTTCTAATACATTCGCTCCTGATCTCATCTTCATACATTGCAACGTTCCCATCTCTACAACATTTAGCTTGTGGTTTTTGCACTTTACTGTCCAATATTCAGTAATATAAAGTATAAAGCATTGCTGGTCTTATGGTTGTGCGGTAAATCTTTCCTTTAAGCTTGAACAGCACCCTTCACTAAAAAAAACACCTAAAGCATTCCTTCATTTCATCCATGTAGCTTGAATATTATGATCATCTTCCTCTATCTCTTCATCACCATGATACTTAAACGGCAAGACCTATGGTATGGAACTGTACTTGAGTCATACAGTGTGTTGCTTATGACTAACAACTTAGCATTAACAAAATCATATCGTCTATCCATATCATAAAGATTTGACAAAGTTTATACATTGGTTGTCGACAGCGCAACCTTCCTCTTTTATTTGGGCTTACAACCAGCTATGTAAAGATTTGCCACAGAGCACGACACAGGCAGAGTTAATTCTGAATTTAGCTTATTCAGTTAATTAGTATATGAACACACCACTCAATATCTGCACAGATGATTCCTCTCCTATTATTTTAACTCAGTTTTATGGTTAAGAACTGCATTCAAAGAGACAACAATTGAGTTTCATTACATAGGATCTTATGATCGCAGAATCAACATGCAGAAGTAAAGTCCACATGCAAGAACAGAGAACGAACTCAGGGAGATTTGAAACTGAAAAATTGTATTCATCTAAAACTAAACTTGTAAAATACAAGAGAAGAATTTATATACAATAGGTTCCAGAAGCTACCAAAGCTAACTTGCTAACTAATTAACTGTGGATGTAACTAACTATCTTGACATGAAAAATAAGCTATTAAATTATAATGGGCTGGGCCTATTTGAGCCCAATTCTTTTGAGTCTGGTAACATAGGAAAATCGAAGGGTTGATTTATTCATGAACTTTCCTGACTTCTGAGTTCAGCAAACAGATCCTTTCATCATGCCAAACTTTTAATTAAGTTTAAGACGCTACTCTTTCTACTGCATGCTTTAAAATAGTCTAGGCCATGAGCAGAATGAAAAAAGAATCACCTTGGCAGATATTGAGTTTTCAAAAAGCACGCATGCACGCACGCATTCGCACATTCTAATTTAGGTCTTAATCATATAACTGAGTTACAATATGGTATATTGATATTCCTTAAGAAGTTAACTTTCTGATCATTGGTTAAATGAGTCTGCTGCTGGTTGTTTCTCTTTAATGAGATGATGCTTATAAGATGTCTGTATCTGGATGGCTGAAATAGAGGGTAGAAATAGAGACTCTCGTTTGTGTGTATAACATTGTAGTCTGGTTGGATATGGCGTGTTTCTTAAGAAGAACCTTGAGAAAATTCCTGGTATTTTGAAGCCACAAAGACCCAAAAGTGATAATAGTACTTATTCATGACTCGAAACATTTTACACTTCAAAAGAAAGAAATATTATTGGCTATAAGTTACTAATATTAGGCTCCTAATTGATGCCAACCTGGATAGGCCTTAAGGAACATGATGGAAATTGTATAATATCAGTGTATTCTGCGAATTATAAATGTTTGATGGGGCTGAAATGCAATGGGGAAACCACAAGGATTAGCACAAGCAAAAAGCTTGGTTTCAAATCAAGTTTCAGTTTTTCGGAAAGTAATTGCTCACACTGTGATTTTGAAATTATGACCAAATGAAAACAGAAAATGAAACTCGAGACAGATGGCTGTTAATGCCGGTCAACAACCATGTTTTCCTCCAAACATATGATTCCAAACAAAGCCATTTTTTTTTTTTTAACTTTCCGATCACAGAGAAGATCTGTATTTGTCTATATCCACATTACATCTCTTTGGTCTGTCAAAATATGATTGAGCTTGTTTTCTTCTGAATTTGACTGTATTGGGAGTAATATGTAATATAAGAACTGTCATTTTGATAAGTTCTTACTTTTAGAGGTAACAAACTTGTCTTTGGTATTTCATGTTGAACACATTAACCTTCAGGGCATTAGAATGACAAACTTGGTTTATAATCTAACTGCATTCATGGACTTTTCTTCCTTTTTGCAGGCTCATATGTGACTCATGAAACAAACCACTTCGTTTATTTCTATTTGGATCAGAAAGCGGTTTTACTTTTTAAATCTGGCTAGCCATATTGTGATGGTGGCAAAGAAGTTTACAGCAACGGGAATTGTCTTGTGATTGATTATGCTGCTATATATAAGTCATATCCATGTATTAATTCCACTGGCATACAAACTCTTTGCAGGACATTCTTGTGCTTGTTGTATATTTGTGTCATGTAAACTAGTTCTCCAATTTGGATAATGAATTTGAAATTCAAAGAATCTGTTTGCTTTTGAAAATATTTTCTTATTTTCATTCTCTGTTTTATTTTAAAGAATTAATTTTTTTTATTTTTATTTTTACAGTTTTTCTTGCTTTAAGAAACATGTTTGGTATACAAAGAATGAAATTGATTTTAGAAAATTAAAAAAAAAAAAGTATTTCGTATCAGATTATGAAAAATCATCGAGCGTGCTAGATTAATGCATTTCCTATTTATACTATTATGAAAGGAAATTTTTTTTATCATTTTAATTATTATTATTGAATAAGTAACTATTTTATGCAGTGTATGAGTATTTTTAATTTTTTAAAATATAAAATAAAAGAAAAATTTTAAAATTATAAATAAAATATGCACAAATAATTTAAGTAGAATTTAGAAAATATAATTAAAAAATATTTGTAAATATAAAAAAGATGTATATTTAATTTAAAAGAATTTGAATTGTGTATAAAAAAAAAGTATTTGAATTTGCATTTAAAATTTAAAATAAAATAAAAGTTAACAATGATCATATATATATATATGAGAAATTATTTTTGCTTCAAAAATAAATGTTTTTGCCTCTGCTGCATATACAAATTGATAGAGAAAGAAAGCACAGAGGAATGAAAGAGAAAAGTAGGGATGAGGCCCCACTCTTTTTATTTCTCTACAGCAAATAAATTTTTCTCTTTTTTTTATACATAAAGAAAAGCTAAAAAATAGAAAACAAAATGAAAATAATCAACCAACATTCCTAATTTGAGAGTGCCTAAGGAGTCCGCAAGCAAAAACAAGAGTGATCCAGGAGAGCATCTGAGAAGACATAATCATCATCCATATACGGGCAGTCTAGTAGGAGGTTCTCTAGGTAATCGACGCAGCAATTAGCCTCCCTCAGTGTATGAATAAAGAGGACTTGCCAGTTACAATTGATCAATGCTCGAATCTGAGTCACCAAAGACGACTCACAAGCTTTCTCACCATGCCCAGTGAGCAACGCGACAACAGAGCTTGAGTTGCTTTCGGTAATTAGTTTCTTGACACCCTTACTCCAAGCTACCTGAAGCCATTCCAGAACACCCCACAGTTTTGCATTTCATGCTAAACAAGTACCAATTATGTAAGAAAATCCATCTCTCCAGTTACCATTTGAGTCTCACGGCACCCCATCACAAGCAGCGACCCCCTGGATTGTCCCTAGAAGCACCATCTATATTTAATTTAATAAATTCTTCTAGCGGAGGAAGCCAAATAATAGTACGTTAGACTGGAAAAGAAGTGTCCTGTACATTGCTGCGCATTTTCAATCACAGCGAGATACGAGTGGATAAAATGAGGGGTTGGTTGGCTATGTGCAACTAAATTACGCCACTGCCATATCATCCAGCAGTCAACACCAAAAAGAGTAGCCCTTGGGATCGTACCTGTACTTTCCCCTTACACTCGAAGAAAGTTTCCCTTTCTAAAGGAGCCAACATATCAATCCATATCTTTTTGATGATGGGACAGTCCCTAACAGCATGCAGTAATGTTTCTACCTGTTCATTACAAATGGGGCATCAAGGATACCCAAGGGACCAGTAAACACTCTATGCTTTGATAGGCAATCTATAATGAGCTAACTTCCATTGAAAAAATTTCATGCGTTGAGGACCTTTCCAATCCCATAGTTTTCTCCATAATGCACATGGCAAGTGGACATCATCCACCATGGCCCCTAAAAGAGATGTATAGCAATTTTTTTACCGTGACCCCAGTTGTATTTTCAAGTCGTCCAACCTGACGATCCGATTCATCCTACAAAGCAGGTGGCAAGCAACTCCAAATTTGTTGTAAAGTATTTTTAGGTAGCCAAGTCTGCAGTAGCTCAACTTGTCAATTGTCGTTGTCATCCACATAATCATACACACATTTGTGGGCTTTTTCTTCCGGGACTAGATTAACAATTCTGTCAATCAAGGGCTGAAGTCCCGGTGCCGACCTATCCTTCTAGAAAAAAACTGAAGTATTATATCTAATCTCCCTCCAATTTCCCAAATGACCTTGTTTTCCATAAATAGCCAAACCCGACAAAGAGCCAACCATAGCCGGGAGCAACCAATCCTCTCAGTGAATGTAGAGACATCAACCCCGCTGCCCATGTATTTTCCTTTTAGGAATCTTACAAAGAGTCTGCTTCAGAATGGAATCGCCACGCCACTTTGAAAGGAAAGCATCATTCATAACTTTTTGTCGCTTCAGTCCCAGCCCCCCAACCTCCTTTGGCAATGTTAAGGTATCACATCCAGTCACATGATACCTACGTGTAGTCTCACTATCACCCCTGATAAATCTCCTCTGAATCTTTTCAATTTCATCTCAGATGACCACAGGGAGCTTACCATGCTACGTATAAAAGTAAAGGATCGAAGATAAAACGAATTAGGATAATGTAATCTTGCCTGCTTGTGATAAAGTCTGTTGTTGCTAACCCCCAAGCTTGGATTTAACTTTCTCAATAATGTGCTCATAGTGTTGTTTGGTTATGCGCTCGTGTAATATCCAAGCACTCAAATATCTTCAAATATTGCACACCTGTTTGAAGCTGCATCTCTCAATAATGTCCTTACTAAGCTGCTCTGACATGTTCTTGGAAAAGAAGACACTTGTCTTCTGAATACTCAATTTCAATCTCGATATCTCCTCAAACAGATAGATGCATTTCAACACTATTTCCACATGGGGAAGTGATGCCTTCACAAACAGCATTAGATTGTCAGCAAACTTTAGATGGGAGACTGGGGGCCCACCTTTACCTACCGTAAAAGGATGCCAAAGATTACCAGCCACTGTTGTATTAATGATATGACTTAGCTTTTTCATTGCCAGGACAAAAAGATAAGGCGACAAGGGGTCCCCTTAACGAACACCCCTGGACTGGTTAAAGTCAGACGTCTGGCCACCATTCCACAATACATTAATAGAGGAAGAGGTAACAACATTCGTAATAAGCTCACCAAAGTGATCGGGTAACTGGATCTCCTGGAGAATATTCTTTAAGAAATTCCAGTTTAATCGGTCATAAGCTTTCTCCAAGTAACGTTTAATTGCCATAAAAGGGCGCTTGCGATGTATCTTGTGCTTATTGTGAATTAGTTCTTGCACAATGATAATATTATCATGATTCTGCCTTTTGGGACGAAGCTCGTTTGGCAGGGAGAAATGAGTTGCCCCTGAACAGGTTAAAGATAGACAAATTTTTCTATTTTTGAAGCAAAAATGATTTATATTATATATATATATATATATATATATATATATATATATATATATATATATATATATATATATATATTAAAAAGTAAAGAACTCGACTACCCAAAAACTCTATTTCAGGGTGGATCAAACAAAAATTTCAAGAAGAAATATAAAAAAAAAATTGTGTTAAAGCAACCACTCTATTTGTTGGTAAGTGAAAATTCAATCAATAATTTTTATATTATATTTTTACTATATTTCTCTAACAAATAAAAATCAGTGTTTTATACACATAATTAATTAAAATAGTTTAATCTAATTAAAATAGTTTAATCAAATTAAAATAAATATAAAATTTAATAATATAAAATAAAATTATGATTATTATTCTTTAAAAATATATATTTACATATCAAGCCAGCTTATCAATTTGTTTAATTTTTTCTTTTTGGTAAATTGTTTTAGATGTTAATTTATTAATTGATAATAAAATTTTTAGATTTTTAATTTATTATTTTGATAATAAATTAAAAATCTAAAAAATTTATTATCAATTAATAAATTAAACATCTAAAAATTAAAATTTAACATATTTATTTAACGAGTCAAACAAAATTATGTCATTTAACTAATAATTAACCTAACTGTGAAGACAACCTCGGGTCTGGGAATAAGAATTTTGAAACACGTAGTTGAAATACAGACATTAACTAAAGTGGGGATAAGAATTCTGAAACAGGGAAGGACTTGTAAGACCAGCGATTGACTAAATGGATAAGAACTCTGAAACACGTATGCTTATGCATACGTGTTGCGTGTTGCCAACACATTCTGCAACTCCTTTAATTTATGTTGTAAAAGTATTGGAAAAAATATCTGTCATCGATATAAAATTATATCATTTTAAAAAAGAGATAGATATAAAAAAATATTTTTTGTATTTAAAATTTAAATTAAAAAAAATTACTCTCTTTCTTTTTTATTATTTTCATTTCTTGTGCCCATTTCTCTTAAAATGATATAACTTATATCATTTTAAATAACATAACTTATATCATTTAAAATGACAATTACCAAACTCAAAAATACGATCGTTACAGTTTGTTCCACTCGTATTTGTTTAGGTTTAGCTGTATCCTTATGCCTTATTTGGAAATATGTTGTTTTCATAAAAAAGTATATTATATAAAAAATTAACTGTAATTAATTACACGATAAATATAGAGTTTAAATTTATGTAATACTATCGTTCAATATATTAATGTAGTATTAAAAAACCAAACTTTTAAAATAACATTATAATAGTCAAATATGACATGATAATACATAAAGGAATAATAGCATAATTTTTTTTGTTATATCAAATTTGAATCCATTACTATTGTAACTTTTGTATCAATATAAAAATAAATATATTTTCGTATAAATGAATATGATGAATACATTACAGCTCCTAATCAAAGACAAAAAATGCGAATATATCATTAGTTCGTTAATTGCTGATTTGCTCTATATATGTTTTACCTTTTCCCTTAAGCCGTGGCTTATCTCTAATTAGCTTATTAAAATGGGAAATGGTTTCTTTAATGCGACTTAAAATAATACGTCTCCATCTATTAAACAACGTGCTCAACAATAGGAAAAAAAATTAGAAGAAAAAATGCTTTTACATTTCATAGTAATTTTAAAGGAAAAAATATTTCTACTTTTATTGTAAAAATATTTTTTTTTTTGTCACACTTATATAAAAGTGAGTGAATTTCATCA